CAAGGATCTGGGAGACAGACTAGGGGTTACCAACTGATATGCATCAAACTGTTGACACTCAACAAACAATGTTTATACATGACAAAGGAAAATATAGAAAGGACAATTATGCTATTTAATTATGAAAGCATTTTCATTGCTTCTGTCATCTCTTTCCTCATCATCCATCAATTGGTACATTCACTGAAAGTTCCATTATCACAGGCTTTTGAAGTAAACCTAGAAAGGTCCTGTTACATATGAGAGTAGACTTATGTTGTGACAACAACAACTGTATCCATGGCATCCTCCGGCCTTACACTAAGTCACGCAACAACAGCAGTGGCATTACAGGCATTAACGAAGTAAAGCCGGCGCTGGTCCCAGGGAGGCCACTGTAGCTGGCCACAAGCTTCACTTCTAGGGGCATGGACATGAGGGGCAAGCTTTTCTTCAGAGAAACGAGCACAAATGTTTCAATGTATAATGGAATCGTTCAGTGGTCCTACACACTATATCAGAATGGAGAATGCTTTGAATACATAATGTCATTGAGAAGGTGGTCAAATGTAACAAATGTTATATTTGGGATAACACTTTCTTAGTAAAAAAAGGGGCGGTCGGGTAGCCTAGTGGTTAAAGCGTTCGCTCATCACGCTGAAGACCCGGGTTCGATTCCTGACATGGGTACAATGTGCGAAGCCCATTTCTGGTGTTCCCCGCCGAAATATTGCTGGAATATTGCTAAAAGCGGTGTAAAACCATACTCACTCACTCACTCACTCACTTAGTAAAGTACAGATTCTCATACTTTTTAGGGGTTGAGTCCCGTCCTGAGAATGCTTGCTTGTTTTGTATATCTTGCTGTTTCACAAGGAACAATTGTGCAAAATCTCAGTCAGTCATTAATTATGTATATATATATTTATACATACATTTACATATACACAAGAAAATATCAGCAGGCACTTATCCAAATCTTCAAAACAATATTTCTGGACTGGACAGAAAAGGAACATGTTATAGAAAAAGTTCAATATCTTTTTTAAACAGATGTACCACTTTCATAAATAACAAGGACGAGTGATTGTAAGTAATTATACAGAAATCAAACTTCATCATAAATAGCAAATACACCGATTTTGTGTTACTTTTAGAACAGTGTACCATTATGTTGGTGTAAATTCACACAGCAGAATATCTCTACACTGGCCGTGATCACAGAATGGCTGCTTGACCTCTAGACAAGCCAGAAGGAAAAACTTGTCAATATCTGTCATCGGATAGGTCTTATTTCCACCGTCCCCTAACCAAACAGCCACACCCAGTGGGCTAATGATTTCTGGTGGGCAAGCTATCCCTCTTGTCGTTATCTGATCAGGGAGATGTCTCAAGTCGGTAGCTTCAGTCGCATCTAAAAATCAATGTCTTTCAAGGGCATCTCCATAACAGTAAATATGAATCTTACCGGTATTAGTGCTGACAATGTTTCTTAAATGTTAATCAAAGCTGGTTAATATTCTGGAGTACAGGGAGGGGAAGGGCGGATACCATGCTAGAAAAATACATTTCGTACTTCACGTTGGGTGAAAGGTTCAATATGTTCACCACAATGTGAGTGAGTGAGTTGGGTTTAACACAACTTTGAACAGTAATCCAGTTATATCATGGCATGTCAGTGGGAGGAATTCCAAAGTGTTGACAATAAGTGGAATCATTTTTCGTTTTAATTTAAGCTGCTACTGAATAGCAATTTATGTTTTTCCGTAACTTTCGAGAATTACTTCCCCTTAGTTTCACCTGCGGTCCAACACAGTTGGAAACATGAAGAAACTCTGTAGAAGGTAAAACACATGTATGACGTGCTATGAGACGCATGAAGCAAACACAAACACAATTTCATGTATCCAAGTGATGGTGTAGCAGGAATAAACGTTTGAAACGAATGACTTTAATTCTTTATGTTCTCTCACGAACACGAAGTGATTCAGGTCAAAGATGTTACCACTTTGGTGAAACCCTCAAACATGGGCATGGTGCTGAGAAACCTCGAAACATAATTCGAACCCATGATCAAATGTTTCTCGCATGCCCAGGGAAGCAACTCTGCACAGCAAATAGCAGCACCTGAAGCAGCTGGGCCTCTCTTACCACGATATGAAGACATGTAATATGATCAGCCAGTACTGAATCATGTTATGGAGAAAAAGGTTTCATACATGTTATACAAAATTCTTACATACCAGTTTCATTTCCTATATATTCCTCAAAAGAAGATTTGGAACACCTGATTATTTCATATTGTTTTGACATGACACATTGACTATAGTGATATGAAAGAATCAGGAGATCTTCAACTTCTTTTGAGTAGTATATTAATGATGTCGACATCAACTCGTGCAGCGTTACAGCAAAATAAACCCTATACCGTAGTCCCATACTATGTATTTCTTTTGGGTTTTTTTTCTTTTGTTTTTGTTATTACAGAAAATAGCCACGCTTTACATATAGCTCTCATACCATGTAGGTTGCTTAATGTCTGTCTAATCTTAAACATGTCAAGATTCTGTCAAAAAAGTAGGTCCAACAAGTGACATTTTTTAAAGCTTTAGAAAGTATCTGTCTTGTAAATGTCTTTTGTGCAGAATGAATCATGACAGCCATTCGTACATGACCCAACTCACATTTCCCATACCCTTGTGAACATGATGAAAAGATTTCAGAATAAACACACGCTGCAGAATGAATGTGAGAACGAATACCCCCGACACTCTTTGTGCACCCCCTCCAAACAACAATAGTTGGGTGAAGGTAGTCGTTATAGATTGTCAATAGAGGACGCGTCCACACATTCCTCCACATGAAATCTTGTATAATAGCGCAGCAATAGATAGGTAAAGATCACATGTCCCTGTGGTGTGATATGGGTACCTACGTCATCACCGACTAATATTCCAACAGGTCCCATTGATAAAGTCATCCAGTGAAATTCTTTGCATAACGCTATTATAGAATTTATTTGGGTTTAAACTTTCCTTTGATGGTTCATTCCCATGTGGTCGACTCAACTTCTTGCCATATATGGTAAACATTGCATGCATAAGTGCATTCTTAGTTAGCCATGAATACTGTTCAGACAAAGTGAAATATGTATGCATAATGCTATTTCATTTAGAAAAATGACATGTATGTGTAGCATAGGCTGTTCAGTCAGCATTCCAATACATTTGGACAGGCTGTTTGTATGCATTCTTATCATGCCTTATTCTCTTCTTATCAAGTGTGAGAAGTCACAACTGCCAAGAATTGAAAACAAAGCCTAACATACACTCATTTTGGGGAGAGCTATACAATCAGGATCCTAGTATAACAATAGCGTATTTAGGGATGATATCAAAGTTGTCTCGCCATTGGTGGTTTCTACCTCAATGTCAAATTCAATTGACTTACATCTTTGCTGATGAAGGAATTCTATTGTTTTTGTTGACAATGGATGTCTGATAAGCTGTATTTGTTGAGAGGGGTTAGTATACAAGATATTCATTCTCAAGCTTTACCATTTCTTTACATGGCAGTGATATTAAACAAGAAAGATTATATTACTTTGCCAATAATTTGAACAACTGCCGAAATTTGTTGGATTTTGAAAATTTGATTTAAAAATATATGCCTCCATCAAACTGCCCTAGGGACTGTTTTTTCTCAGTAGCAAAACTGCAATCCAAATACAAAAACATCAGTTGAATCTAAAATGTACATAAAAAATGCATTCTTTCTTGACAAGCAAGTGATTGAAGTCATATTGTGTATCTATTCTCCTGGCTAGTGACACAGGAGGGTCAGAGGTGGGTTCCCCCAGATGAGTAAGAGTGCAGGCATCCGTAACCAGGAATGCCGACTGAGGTGGGATGTGGGTGTTCCTGTGTTTGCTTATAGATGGGTTCGTGGTTAACCCATATCCTGCTCAATCCATCATTTACCTACTGTGGAAGATGTACTCTAACCAAACTTGTCTATTGACAGCCTGAATGATCCTAATTACTTGAACAAAAAAAGTTAGGAATGATGAATATTTTGGGGAATATTTTTATGAATTTGTGTGCCCAGTCTTCACTACAAAAAATATCGTCAAAAATATTCATGATCCCTAACTATTTTTGATCAGTTTAGATAGGGCAGCTTGAATGACCCTAATGTAGGAGCACATTGACAACCCATCGCTGTCGTAAGGTCTCGTTATAGCTTCACCTGCAGGTATATCTAACAAGGGTTAATTTACATCAGAGAATGAGCCACTGTCAAAGCCAGAGCACTATGATGAGAATGAATAGAATATGAAATTGCTGTGTCCCTCTCCCCAAAACGAGGTGGTGTGACAAGTTTGGATGAGTACTTGATATTTGCTCTTCAGATTGTGTATGTCCGCATTATGATGGATCTATGTAGGCCAACCAGTTACTCCTTGACCAGGTGCACAAGTAGTTTTCTGAATTACTCTCTCGAGATTGTTTGTTCATCATATGTAGCATCTGTATGTGTGTCATAGTAATGCTAGGGATTAGTTAGGGGCAGTAGCAAAAGAATGGATAGTATCCTCTGATAGATACAATCCTCTGCAAGGCCCATTAGAGGCAAAATAGTGGGAATTTTGGAACAATTGAAACTAATTATCTGACTTTTGTGTCGTGGTAAGAACACTCAATGTTCAGGCAGTCTATATCAGATTTTATTTGAAATAAAATTTATATATAGTATAGAAGATCTGACAATTACTAAGTTTCTATTCCAACTTTCTATAATGAGGATAAGGCTTCACACTTATTTCCTGTTCTGTATATTTGGATGACAACAATACCAAATCTATGGAATGATCATGAAAATAATTAATTGATATGATATTTTGTCACATTTATATTATTTGTAATGGCTTCCGTGATGGAACTAAGCATTATCATTCTTCATTTGAGAAAATATAAAATCAATGACTTTTTTGCTCAACATTTTCTTGTTTTTCTTTTCAGAACTGCCTGGAAATGGAACGCTACCTCAAAGATGAACCTAAGCTCACGTCTTTCAAGAAACTCAATTCCGAGGATGCCGCATCAGGAGGGGTATCGATGAAGCGTCGGGCTGAGGCCTGTGAAGCTTCAGAAGCAGAGGGAGAAGCAGATTACCCTGAGTCCGATGATGTAGATAACATTCCTGATGATGAAGATGACGATGATGATGTGTGCGATAGCGGTGATGAAGTTGAAGCCGATGACAAACTGAATGAATTTGCACAGCTCAATTTGAATGATCGGGCATCGGATACCCTCAGTATAAACAGCTTCAGTTCAGCATCTAGTGGTGTGTCATGGGATAGTAACATAAGTGACCCTCCTTTGTCACCAATACGACCGAAATCTAATGACCCTTTTGCTTTGAAATTAGTTGCACAGAGGCCTGGCAGGACAGAAACAGTTGCACTGCGTCCAATTTCAGCAGAGTTGGTTCATAGACATCAAAAAATTATTGTGGCAGCTGGGTCATCACATAAACGGCCACAAACTGCCCACCATCATAGCCAGTCTCAGCAGTGTGTATCACACCCTCCTTCCGGAACCCGTATAGAAGTTAGTCTCGACACCAGGAAAAGGGTTCACCACTGTCCATACTCGGGATGTAAAAAGGTCTACACCAAAAGTTCACACCTTAAGGCTCATCTACGAACGCATACAGGTAAGACAGTTATTATAGTGTGTGTGTGTGTGTGTGTGTGTTTGTTTGTTCTTTAATGCCACACTCAGTAGTATTCCAGCTATATGATGGTGGTCTGTAAATAATCGAGTCTGGACTAGACAATCCAGTGATTGACATCATGAGCATCGATCCACGCAATTGGGATATGATGACATGCACCAACCAAGTCACCTAGTCTGACCACCCGATCCCGTTGGTCGCCTCATACAAGCTTAGTCGCATGGGTTGCTGAAGACCTATTCTGACCCGAATCTTCACGGGTAGTTATTATTGTAGAGTTGTCTCCCTCTTCGTTAAGCACTATATTGTTTAGTGGTGAATATGTATAATGCTTGTCATTTCAAACTGGGGCACGGGCCAACCAACACATGGGATGTTCTAGTGCTCTAATACGAGCCTAATTACCATTATGTTTCATGAGTTTATTGACACGTTTATGTAGACCCATTCTAAATGCTGTGTTTTTCTTCTTCAGGTGAGAAACCCTACAAATGTACATGGGAAGGTTGTGAATGGCGATTTGCCCGAAGTGATGAACTTACACGCCACTACCGAAAACATACCGGGGCAAAACCCTTCCAATGCAGGTATTGTGAGAGATGTTTCTCCCGATCGGACCATCTGGCACTACACATGAAACGTCATGCAACCATGGATCTTTGACACCGTTCAAGTCCTCACCCATTTACCATCGCCATTTGACCATGACCTACAACTCTGTGATAAGAACAAACAAGCACACGTGATACGAAACATTGAATCTAAAATCATAGTGTTATGTCATTTGAAAGGGGAGAATTTCCTCATTTGAATGAATGGTCACATGACAGAATAATGTTTGAACAAAAGTGCATGACTAGTGGTCATCTGAGCCATTTTGAAAGCACATTGAAATTACACCATGACTGGCCAGTGATGGGACTCGCAGTTGTGCCAAGAAGACTTCACATTCATGTTAGTGCACTAATCAGAAAAGACAATGAGTGGCTCTCAGGAATTGTTACTCCAGAGGAGAATTTGTAAGAAACACTGGACATGTTGAACGTCATCGTGCATTTCCATATACCAGTACTCTGAAGACATGGACAAAAGATCTGGAACATTGTTAAGGAAGTGTGAGAGAAAGGAATGTTTGAATTGGCTGTGGATTCAGCCATTGGTGACCTCTGAAGGTCATGACATTGAACTTATGATATTAACTTCGTACTACTTCACTGTGATATCATTACATATCTTGCCTAGTGCTTGAATAGAACGTAGCTACGTGGAAATCTCATCAACATGATAAGGTTAAGGAAAGATTGCAGTCCAACATGTTTATGTCCTTCTTGTTTTCGAATCGTTTCAAGAAAAGAAGGATGTAGTGTGTTTTTGATATCAGTTTACACTTTCTTCATTACTGTATTTCCTCGATTAAACACCCCGCCATATATTTCATTCAGACCCCCTGTGTTTAATTACAAAGATCGTAATTGGGAGAATTATGTTCATAAAATCTCCCACGCTTTAATTGAGGAAATACGGTATCTCTGTCACACATACAGAGGTTTGAGGAAAGAGGGTTAGGAATGTATCTAAATGACCAGTATGCAAAAATAATTTCTTCTGCGATTTTATTTTCAGACTAGACATAACTTAGCCACGTATCTCAATATTGGTTTTTTGTCAGTTAATTATTTGCTTACAAACTCGATCAATTCCAATCTGCTGGTATTTGTTTGATTTTGACGACAGGGCGTTTCTGTTGTACCGATATTGTTTAATTGGCGTTTCCTGTTGTTGGGTTTTACATTTGTTCTTGAAGATCTGTTACCTTTGTTCTTCTGTTACTTATATCTCAATTTTTATTGTCGTCATCTCTCTTATATTCCAACGCCCAGGTTCCATGAAAAGTCACATTCTGATTTTGTTTTGCTTGAAAGCGGACATCTTGGTTCCTCTTTTTCACTGCTCAATCTGTTATCATTCTTTTATGGGTATTTTTTTCCATTTCCTTTTAGCATGTTTATCTCAAGTTTACACTGCAATATGCAAACAAATTTTAACTAACAAATGTCCAGATGAACAAACCAATTTCACCCAAAGTGCTATTAATTTTACAGTATATTTAATTGTTTTGAATCAGACATTGAAACATTGGCCTCAGTGGATATATGCAAACATCCTTTATTGTTTATGCCATTTGCACAGGAAATTGGGACAGCTGTGATCTCAACAACACAAGTGGCAGCAGCTATTTATGCATCCTGCAGTTGGACCAATCAGATTCCCCGTCTCAGATCTGCCTTCTCCCAATGTAATGTGTCTGAGTGGCTGTGATTAGTTTGTTTTGTACATGAATAACAATGAGATTTTAGTATTGCTCATATTTATATATGTCATCTTATTCATGTGTGTAGTAACTATGTGATAAGTGCTAATACCATAACACTCACTGAAGAAGAAATGGTTGGGAAAATATCTAGAATCAGTGACTTCTCCCTTGATAATTCAGTGCAAAAAATGTTTTTAGTACATATATATATATGAAACCCACATGACAATTTTTTGACTCTTGGGATTGTGCAATTTTGTAAGTTTAGGAAGTGGTTTTAAATATTTTTATAGCTAATTTATTTGGCAGAATATTTTCTTAACAAATGCCACACAAAGCTGTTGCCCTTTGATACTCAATAGGCATAACAGTCCTGTACAAGTATTTTCTACTTGACAGAAATATTGCATGTTTGGAAACTGGTGATATTCTGTCAAGGCCATTAAGAATTAAATTGCTTGTTTAATACAAGATATTTGATATCCTTGTTGAGACCTCCATTTTTCCAATTCTCCACTTTTACTCAACTAGTGTACATGTATTTGGAAAAACTGAACCAAAATACATTTGAGTTTCCATTTTCAGCATTCATGACTTCCAGTAACATTAGAAATGCATCAATTCCCAGGAAAACAATAGTAAGGACATGTTAATTGTTAATGATTGTTAATTGTTCGCTTGTTTTTTTATACTTTGATGTATATTTTGGTAACATGTAACTCAGTGAAGGATCATGGGAGAAAGCAGTGATGTCATGTGACATTTGCATTCTGTTGCTAGGTTTGCAAGTTCTCTCATGTGAACTTGGTGTATATAATCAAAGAATAAATATATGTATGTAATAAAAAGCTTCCCGTTTTGTTTCATTAGTCAGAAAATATTTCAGCCAAAATATTGCAAAATGCTAACACCCTTTGAGCTTTCTGCCTGTGACTTGTGAAAGGGGTTTAGCTGCAAGGGACAGAATCTGATTCAGTCCACAAACAGCCATGTTCCCGAGGCAAGGGAGTTAGCTAACTAAAAATGTCCAGTTTACACCCTTGGCGAGCTAGGCAGGAATTCGCGAGTTACATTTTGGCTGGATTAACGAGTCTATACATAGTCAATTCAAAATCGCAGAAGGAACTAGATATTTGGTTTGTATATCACAACATAGATTTCAACATACATATTTCAGTCAATTGCAGTATTTGCAAAGTATGTGTACTGCCAACTGGGTGTTAAATCAAGATGCTCAAGTGATTTCATGTACTTTGCAGAGTAAGACCCTATACAGCTCTTAATTATCAATCAGATCTTCTTGACTGGGCGCCGCCATGTTGTTTGAAGCAAATGCAAGTTACATGAGAGGTCAATAGGAGGGACATAATTCGCAATGGCCGCTGGTGGTGCCTAGATATTCTAGCTTAGTTCGGAATGGGTGGAAACTGACCTTTTATAGTCAGTTATATATCTTCCTCGTGAAGATGACAAACAGCAGATATTGGCCCCCCTTAAGTCTGTCTCACAGACCCTACAGAATAAAATATGCATTGTTTGGGGCTCCATTTGGTTTTTATTTTTTAGAGATTTAAAAATCTCTTGGCCACTATAGCACTAGAAGAAAACATCAATGGTGTGACATGTTCAACACTTGTAAAAAATATTAGTTTGAATCACATCAAGTCAAATGACTGATTAGATGAACAATGTCTTATCTCCAGAAACATACTAATAGTATTTAAAATTAATTTGTGGTAAATGATACATATACACATTAATTATCAAGTTCTTTTTTTGTAATGAAGAGAGGACATGATTTGATTTCAGTCCTTCAAACTGGTGAAATATGTCAATATATAGTACATCTACATCATGCCAACAATTCTTCTCCATCCTTCATAACACTCAACCGCTATAGTGAGGAAGTTGGGTTTAACACCGCTTTTCACAGTATTCCAATTATATGATGGCGTGTCAGCTTAATGTGGGAGGAAAGCTCAAAGTGAAGCACGTCTGACGTTTACCACTTTGATGAAACCCATGAGCACAGGAATGGTGCTGACAAACCTAGAAACATAATCAGGGCGAACCGGGATTCGAACCCACAATCATAGGTTTCTGGCGTGCCCAAGGGACACAAATCTGCACAGCAAATCGCGGTGCCTTAGACGACTGGGTAACCCATGTCCCCTGTACTTAAAGAACATAAACAGGATATACACCTTAAATCTTGTCAGTCATGGTGATACTCCATTGTGCATGTTGCTGAATGAGTTTCAGGTTTGAAATACTATGACAGGGATTCAAAGTCATGATCCCAGGTTTCTGGCATACGTGCTCAAGGGCCTAGACAACTGGTGTCCCTCTCCTGAACAGGCTGCCATTACTCTGCTTGTTTCATTCAGTGCAAGTTTTAACCCGATCTCGTGTGAATACAAAAAGCTGCATATTCTGATAAAGGGCCAAAAATATCAATGCACAGTAAGTACAAGTACACTTTTCTTTTTCACCAAGAGGCCTGTGTCAAGGGTTGTGTACCATCCATGCACACCCGCAGATACAACGCTCACATTACCTCACTGAGAACTTGCTGAAAGCAACAGGCGGAAATATGTCAAGTCATCTCCGCTGAAACCCTGATCGGTATCAATAGCCGCCATTAAAAAATCTGTCAGGAAAAGAATTAGCTGTTATGTTATATGTGCACAGGCTCAACATATTTTCTGTGGCACGTAAACAAGTATTTGTTATGGCAACGCAGAGGGAGGGAAGATAAAACCAGGCAATGGATAAATCAGTCAGTCAGTAACAAACCATGATCATAAACAAATTATCATTTGAATGACTACTTGATCAATTATTCCAAATATATTACAAATCTATTTAAATGTTGGACTTTCTAAAGAAAACAACTATTATGCAAGTATAAATTACAGGTATTGAATATTTACTCAATTTTGAGCGACAACAGAAAACACGGTTGGGATTTTCCCATAAGCCTGTACAATTTATGGAGGCCGTAGGTCATGGGTTTGGGGTATCAAAGCTTGAGGTGTGGGATGGGAAAGTTCATTGTTGAAGCGTGGGACAGAAAGACAGAGGGTTATTGCTGGGTGTGGGATGGGTGTGTTTGGGAAGGGGGTTTGTGGCTGAGGTGTGGGATGGGTTGATTGTTGGCTCAGTGGGAGTGGGGTACCATGGGATGAGAGTTGATTGTTGGGGTTTGGGATGGGAGATGGTTGTGGTGCTGTATGGAGGAAGGCTGGTTTGGGTGTTGGATGGGTGAGTGGAATAATGAGGGCTAGTTGACTGGGGGGTAGGAAATAGTTGGTTGACTAGGGGGTGGGAAGGGGGATAGTTGACTTGGATGGGGGAAGGGGGATAGTTGGCTGGGGTGAGGTAAGGGGGTAGTTGAGATGGGGTGAGGGAAGGGGGGTAATTGAGTTGGGGTGAGGGAAGGGGGGTAATTGAGTTGGGGTGAGGGAAGGGGGTAGATGACTGGGGTGGGAAGGGGGTAGATGACTGGGATGAGGGAAGGGGGTAGTTGAGTTGGGTTGAGGGAAAGGGGTAGTTGAGTTGGGGTGAGGGAAGGGGGTAGTTGACTGGGGTGAGGGAAGGGGGTAGTTGACTGGGGTGAGGGAAGGGGGTAGTTGACTGGGGTAAGGGAAGGGGGTAGTTGAGTTGGGGTGAGGGAAGGGGGTAGTTGAGTTGGGGTGAGGGAAGGGGGTAATTGAGTTGGGGTGAGGGAAGGGGGTAATTGAGTTGGGGTGTGGGAAGGGGGTAGTTGACTGGGGTGAGGGAAGGGGGTAGTTGACTGGGGTGAGGGAAGGGGGTAGATGACTGGGGTGAGGAAAAGGGGTAGTTGACTGGAGTGAGGGAAGGGGGTAGTTGAGTTGGGGAGAGGAAAGGGGGTAGTTGAGTTGGGGTGAGGGAAGGGGGTAGATGACTGGGGTGAGGGAAGGGGGTAGTTGACTGGGGTGAGGGAAGGGGGTAGTTGACTGGGGCGAGGGAAGGGGGTAGATGAGTTGGGGTGAGGGAAGGTTGTAGTTGACTGGGGTGAGGGAAGGGGGTAGTTGAGTTGGGGTGAGGGAAGGGGGTAGTTGAGTTGGGATGAGGGAAGGGGGTAGATGAGTTGGGGTGAGGGAAGGTTGTAGTTGACTGGGGCGAGGGAAGGGGGTAGATGAGTTGGGGTGAGGGAAGGGGGTAGTTGAGTTGGGGTGAGGGAAGGTTGTAGTTGACTGGGGCGAGGGAAGGGGGTAGATGAGTTGGGGTGAGGGAAGGGGGTAGATGAGTTGGGGTGAGGGAAGGGGGTAATTGAGTTGGGGTGAGGGAAGGTTGTAGTTGACTGGGGCGAGGGAAGGTTGTAGTTGACTGGGGCGAGGGAAGGGGGTAGATGAGTTGGGGTGAGGGAAGGGGGTAGATGACTGGGATGAGGGAAGGGGGTAGTTGAGTTGGGGTGAGGGAAGGGGGTAGAGTTGGGGTGAGGGAAGGGGGTAGTTGACTGGGGCGAGGGAAGGGGGTAGATGAGTTGGGGTGAGGGAAGGGGGTAGATGAGTTGGGGTGAGGGAAGGGGGTAATTGAGTTTGGGTGAGGGAAGGGGGGTAGATGAGTTGGGATGAGGGAAGGGGGTAGATGAGTTGGGGTGAGGGAAGGGGGTAGATGACTGGGATGAGGGAAGGGGGTAGATGAGTTGGGGTGAGGGAAGGGGGTAGATGACTGGGGCGAGGGAAGGGGGTAGTTGAGTTGGGGTGAGGGAAGGGGGTAGATGAGTTGGGGTGAGGGAAGGAGGTAGTTGACTGGGGCGAGGGAAGGTGGTAGTTGACTGGGGTGAGGGAAGGGGGTAGTTGACTGGGGTGAGGGAAGGGGGTAGTTGAGTTGGGGTGAGGGAAGGGGGTAGTTGAGTTGGGGTGAGGGAAGGGGGTAGTTGAGTTGGGGTGAGGGAAGGGGGTAGATGAGTTGGGGTGAGGGAAGGGGGGTAATTGAGTTGGGGTGAGGGAAGGGGGTAGATGACTCGGGTGAGGGAAGGGGGTAGTTGACTGGGGTGAGGGAAGGGGGTAGTTGACTGGGGTTAGGGAAGGGGGTAGTTGAGTTGGGAGGATAGTTGAGTTGGGGTGAGGGAAGGGGGATTGTTGATGACAGGGGGTTTGATTAAATAGCATTACTAGGGCACAGCACCCAGTGGACCAGTTCTTACCCAGAATCCCGGAATCCCGTAGCAATAAGTGCTCCAGTGGTACAGAAGCCGACCCTAATCTCCTACTTCTCATTCAAGGGACAATGTGCTGACCAGGCCAAATGAAATGAGCCAAATGCACTTTAAATACTCGTCCTTTAGACGAATACCAAATTGGTATATGTACAGTAAGTATACATCATGAAGGTGACAATAATATTTCAGATACATCACAATGATTGGCTGTTGTGAAATAATTACATGAACAAATAAAAAAAAAAGTACAGAATAATTTATTTATTCACAGCAAATGCTACCACTCTGTAAATAAACAACACAAAAACAAATTCATACACAAGACAAATATTGCTTACTTCAAAGAAATACTGGATGAGCAAAATGAATGCACTTTTTAGAACAGTTGGGGCCAATTTATTCAGATAGTTGTTTAAATCATTTTTATGTTTAATAACGTTTAAAACTTTAAATATCTTTAAATGTTTAATAATGTTTAAATGTCTAAAAAATGTTAAAAAAAAGAAAGTGTATATTCATCCACTCTGCATGACAATGATTGTAACAGACATCATAAAGAAGTAAAATGTCTGTTGTACTTCAGTCATTGTATACTGAACAAAATTGTTAGGGATCATGAATATTTTTTCGAACATTTTTTGGTAGTGAAGACTGAATTTTTTTTAAATGTGCATGGTATTTAAAAATATTTCATGATCCCTTATGTTTTTGCTTCAGTATAGAAATCAAATCTGAGGTAAAAATCTTAAACATACTTTACAAATATTCATGTAAACAAACATGATAAAAGCCACAAATATGTAAATAGCATAAACACAAGATACAAAAGTACAATCTAAAAAACAAATATTGCAAGTTACTTATCAATTATTTACAAATAAATTGAAAGTGATTCCATGCCATATGATTGACAAAACAAGCAATTATATTGGGTATATGATTCCATAAACCAAGAACAAAATTGACCACGCCCATTAACGGACTACCGTTTCCTAATCAGCCTGGTTCCCTGGGTATGCTGCACTGTCAGTGTAGTGCCAGCAGTGTAGCGACAGGGAACCAGGCCGTTTCCTAATTGGCTGATTACACAGTGGGTGGGGCTGATTATACAGTGGGTGGGGCTGGTGTTGCATTACTGCACTGCCTGACAGTTTTCTGTGTTAATGATTAAAAAAGCAGTTTGAAGTTATTATTGTTGATGTTACTTTTAAGTGAGTGAGTGAGTGAGTTGGGTTTAATGCAGCTTTTAACAGTATTCCAATTATATCGCAGCGTGTCAGCTTAATGTGGGAGGAAAGCCCCAAGTGATGCAGATCACAGACGTTGCATGGGTATGGTGCTGACAAACCTAGAAACATAATTGGGGCGAATCGGGATTCGAACCCACAATCATAGGTTTCTGACGTGCCCAAGGGGTAACTGGGCCACCCGTGCCCCCTACTTTTAAGAATTGATTTCAATATATTTTGGCATTTATGGAGGTATGACCATAAAATCCAGTGTGCACATCTTGTGTAATTCCGCTATGCATTTCACCTTTCTGAATCAGCCCAGACACATTTGTCTATTCAAGTCAATAGCACTATTATTCTATTTTCTGTCTGAATACTATAATAGAGAAATATCTGCGAAGATGTTTTACACCAAAGAACAATGCTGAACACCAATGCACTTCTTACCAAATACATCTTAGCCATGTGTAACACATTTAATGAAGATATTCATTATCAATTTATCATATAATTCAAGAAATCAATCCAATTCAATCCTAAATTTACATATAACATATCATAAGAATACCAAGTTTTAGTTCCAAACTTATAACTGCATAACTGTATCCATGAATACCTGCAATATTCATCCGAATACACACACTTGGTATGTAAAAATACAAATATTGGAATTTTCCAATTAATTGTATATTTATATACTTAACCATGTCACACTATGCATTTCTTCTTTCTTCTTCAATCCTATGTGGAAACGTGCTTGAACAGTTTCCAGGTTCTAAAAGCATTCACCCAAACAGATCCCAGCATCACCATGGTCTTGAATTCAACAACTGCGTCACACACCCAGGGAGGTGAATGTGGAATAAATGTTCGGGACACCATGTGCAACTATCTCATCTTGGGGTGACTTCAAAGTGGAAGACCAAAGTCGACGAGCGAATCCACCCTCCAATCAGGAACTAGGTCTGGGAATCCTGAACAAATAAAAAAACAATAACACGGGTGTTAAAGGTTTCAAGATTTAATAAGTAATATACATGAATGTATTACGAGAGCAGGAACGGGTACATGCGTCAGTTATCTGCTTTGACGAGCCATTGACAGCTGCTGCACCAGGACTAGGACTGAACCTGTGTAAGTCCTGGATGTCAGTGACATGTCATGGAGATGGTGGGAGGCAAAGACCGTGTCCGTCTTCAATAAGCACCCTTCCATGATGGCGGAAAGGGTGCAACCGCTGTGTAAGGCCATGGTTGAGGTGACAGCCTGATGTTATTCTGGATTGGATGCAACAGGTTGAGGCAACGAAGCACTAGCGCTGACATGGACTTGCAGCAGCTAAGTAAAGACGGAGCAATCTCACCAGACATAAGAAGAGATTTTCTTGGTTGTCCGGGCCAAAGATGGGGATCATAAAAACCTTCCCATTCTCAGACCGTTCAAACTAGACATGGCTGACATTCAGAATGTGGATATTGCTAATATATGCAGCAGTTGCAAGGGCTAGTAAAAACACAGTCTTGAAGTGATCAACTCGATTGCTTTGTCATCAAGCGGTTCGTAATGAGCCGAAATGGCAAAGAATGACGTTAAGATGCAAAACGGGTGGCCGAAACTGGGATGATCGAAGCAGAGAGTTCAGCAATGGTAGAAACCTTCAATCCCATGGTAGTGGCAATGACAGAGTTGATTGAAGCAGGATATGTGACCAGGGGAGTTCCCTTGAGCTTCAGCAAAGATCAGGAGTGATGAAAAAAATTGGTGATCTGTTGTGGCGAGGCAGCAGTGGGTGTGGAATTGTCATGAGCATTACATTAAGCCTCAAAAGCCGTCCAGTTGTGGTCGTAAAGGTGCTTTTAAAAGATCCTGGGCAACCCACCATGAGAGCAAGAGTGAGGATCCCGGCCATTCGAGCCTAAGAGGTGCAAATATCTGAGGACACAAGCATTATTGGTGTAGAAGAAGTCCCAGTCTTAGTAGCAGCATTGTCCGTTAAAAAACTGTCAGAGACTCATCTTCAGCCAGAGAGAGCACAGGCAAAGAGGGTAAGTAGGAACAGCGACAGGAACAGCGGCAGATGGTTCGCTGGTCTTCTTCTTGGAGACAGTACACGCAACCATAGGTGGAAATGAAGCTTTGGATTTTTTTCCTTTTTTATCAGAATCTTGAGATTTTAAGTGACGGCCAATGACACCTGCGTAAGCAGACAAGAAATTCCGCCCCCAAAAGGTGTTTACATTCGGAACAGAATGCATCAATACTGCACCTGCCGCGACAAACACAGCACCAAACGTGTCAATCTGAGTTGGAAAAAGTATGTCGGCAATGCCGGTTGTGGAAGATCTGTCTTGTCCATTCCTCTCAACGTGGACAGAAACAGCTACGCGAAGTGAATGGGTAGAGAACCCGCAGGAAAAAAATGTCTTCTCTATACTGACAAACACATCTCCACTGTGTGGCAATGTGAAAGAGTATGATGTGTCAGATATAGACACATCATTAGGTCGTGTAAGGTTGCTCTGCACAAGATTAAGTGCATTACCCAGTTCTTGGGTTCATGACCATGGTGATGCTGGGATGTGTTTGGGTGCATTGTTTTAAGAAGCTGGAAACTCTTATCAAGCACGTTTCCACATAGGATTGAAGAATGAAGAAATGAATAGTGTTAGAATTAAACTCAGTTTTCTCAAGGTATCAGTTGTGTGCATTAGAATTTCCAGATAGACATTCATTGCAAGTTACAGATTTAACTGATAATTGTGGTTTTGTTTAAAGAATCTGTTAACAGACATTCAATAGGAGACAAGTCGTATAAGTGAGCGATTGGGTTTAATGCCTCTTTGAACAGTAATCTAGTCATATCATGGAGTAATGTGGGAGGACAGCCCTAAGTGATGCAGACCTCAGACATATACTAGTTTGGTGAAACCCACAAGCACAGGGATGGTGCAGACAAACCTGGAAACAAAAACCAGGATTCGAACCCACAATTATAGATTTCTGGGCTGCCCAAATGACACAGCTCTGCACAGAGAATTTTGGCACCTTAGACGACTTGACCACCCGTACCCCGAAGGTCATATAACACTGCCTTTGTGTCAGCTCTATTTTACCCAAGCCCACAGAGCGTACTGTTTAATAAAGTTATACTGTGTATATTAATCATGCATGTATACAACTTGGGACCGAGTCATTTTGGCTTATCAAAATCCACGTTTTCCAATGACTATACTGATCAAGTAATTTGACGTGCACAGGTATACTGCCCCATTGATGTAATTATGCCTGCAAGAGTTGTTCCCCTTTGAAAACAATTTTATGTTTTATTTTCTAAATGTACCTGTTTATAAAAGCTATATAAACAACAGTCACATCAGGCAATACCATAATAAGACACAAATAAAGATAGGTGCTATACATTTTGCATCTGTAATTGAATAATTGCCTCTACACAATAAATGATTATGATATATTTTATGAATGCTTCAAATTTGACACTTTTTCCCATAGGAATTGTAAAATTTATAATTCAATGAGTGATTCCACTTATTAAAATAAAGAACAAATATGCTTTATGATAGCTGATAGCTACAGATACTTTATGAGTCCACTGTTCTAACTTTGATGCATGACATGGTTTGAAATTCCTTGTATTTTAGTGCTGATGACTGTTACATCCATAACGCCATGGTTATTGTTAGTTAGTTGCTGGAAGGACAAAAATACCTTGTGACAATGTTTATTTTATGAAACCACAAATAAACATGACAAACACATGGGAAATTACCACTTGGCTTAATGCACAGTATGTATGATTCACTGCTTATTATGTAACCTTGGTGAAAGGACGTTTACAGAGTTCAAAGATGAATAAAATATATTCCGCTTGTTGGCAGATGTTAAGTACAAAGGGTACATCTACATCTTAGGAGTGCCCTGTGGTAGACTTGAAAATAATAGATTTCTATCCCTGCTGGGGTAAAGAAGATGCAAATAAAAAATCAAACAGAAGAGCAACTGATACTGTTAACTTCTTTAATTGTAAATGTTCAGCTGGAATGTGTAATCTCTTAACACCTCATACAGGGAACAAGACCTCTGACAGCAGCAGATGCACACATATTAACATCCAAAAAGAATAGGAATGTATGCTTTCCCGCTAAGTGACTCACCCAAACAACTTGATGCAAAATTTAAAAAACATTTTGAGCTACACAAACCTTTACTTACATCGACTGATGTAAGCTTACTGGTTTGGATGAAATAAGAAGTCTGGCCTAAGGATCAGAAGTAAAAACCTGAAACTTTCACCAGTAAGTCAGAGTCTGATGCTGCTCACTGATGGGAAGGGTGTTAGGCTGTGCTGTCATGGCTTACATGGTATACACCAATCTCTTTAAAATCAGATCTTTTACTCAGAATAACACCTCTCTGCACAAAGATCTGAGGACACACAGCAGGCAGCAATAGGTGAACTTTCTAATTAGCAAAGGCTTCTAAAGTCTCTCTACAAGAGATAAAAACAACAAGACAAACATATCTGATTTCTGTACATCTTGAAAATAAATATAATTGGGGAGTTCCAAATGCAAAAAAAAGGGATGCTATGATACTGTTATTGATATTTTATGTATGCCGTTGATTACAGCTTCTACAACCAAAAGGGTGTATAATAATGTTGTGGCTAGTTGCCTGTTTTTAATATGTCCAATATCTGGTTTGTTTTGGGAAGATCCTTTCATTTATTATTTTGAAATGTTAAAAATCATTCAGAATGAAATCTCACAAAAAACTGAACATCATAAGGAACAACAAAATGTAAGTGTGCTCTAGCAAGTTCTTTACAAGCGTTTGTACATCTGAACAAATATGATTTTTTTACCAACAACATGAATAGACCTGGGATCGATGACATGCATCAACCAAGTCAGCGAGCCTGACCACCCGATCCCGTTAGTCCACCCACAAAGTATTATCCCTCGATCATGCATGGATCATAAACACAATTCTTATGTGTGAAACATTCATAAACCTGTTTTCAGTTCTAGTATTACAAGTGCATCTGAGATAACAAAAACGATTGATAATAAATAATGAATTTACTGTTTGAAGACTTTTGGATACCATTTAGGTAACAATTTTCATTTTCCTCACAGTTTTTGAAATAAAAGCTAAAAACAAATAACGACAGCAGTTGTTTGAAACAAACATCCCAAAAGAACGGAGTGCAGGTCTAGCCGTTGTGAGTGAGAGAGTTGGATAATACCGATTTGAACATTATTCGTCATATCACAGTATATCAGCAAGATGTCAGAGGAAAGCCCAAAGTGAAGCAGGTCCAAGGTGTTTACCACTTCGGCGAATCCCATGAGCACAGGTATGGTGCTTGCAAACCTAGAAAAATAATCAGGGTGAACCAGGATTTGAACCTATAATCATAGGTTTCTGGCATGCCTAAGGGACGCAACTGAGCACAGCAACTTGCAGCACATGAGACTGGATCAACAGGGCCTGCTGGCATGTCCGTATCCATGACAACAAATTATTAAGACTTGAATAATTGACGCCAACACCCATGTAATACTTGTGTAGTTCCCTGAATGTATTTTATCATGACAGTAAACAAAGGCTATATTACCAGATGAAACTTCACAATAAAACTTAAGTTAATTGACCGTTACACAACAGAAGTCATTCATGATTCCCAGACCTCACTGGCAGAGCCAAGCATACCTCTAAATGTCACCGTATAACACCAGCATTTTCAAGGCGATGTTTTGTTTGTAATTTTAATTTCTCCATTGCTAGTGATACATGGTCTTCGATCGTCCCAGCTTCAACCTCAGCCAGTTTTGTGGAGCAAAACATGTGACTGTGAACTCACGGGAGAAGGGTCCCTGTGCTCTTCCTCTACCCTGTAGAAAGGAAAGTGTCCTCATTAGATCCCCACCACAATGGATGCATGTTGCTCTCACTCAGTAAAACACTCCTTGCAGCAGTGTTTGTCTGTCACACTTTGCATGTCAGATTAGCATCCAGTTGTATATAACTACATATAACATCATCCATTCTCCATGTCTGAGAGACCCCTGAGCCATATATTTAATCACCCCATTCCTTAATCATCCCCACCTCAGCTCGAGCTGCCCAAACTCATCCACTCTGCTCTAGTTGACTAAATTCATCCCCTCCACAGCTCTAGCAGCCTACACCCAACCTCTCTCAGCTCCAGTAACCTATACCCATCCCTTCTCAGCTCTAGCAGCCTATACTCACCCCCTTCTCAGCTCCATCAGCCTATACTCACCTCCTTCTCAGCTCCAGTAGCCTATACCAATCCCCTCTCAGCTCCAGTAGCCTATACCAATCCCCTCTCAGCTCCAGTAGCTTATACTCATCCCCTCATCAGCTCTAGCAGCCTATACTCATCCCCTCATCAGCTCTAGCAGCCTACATCCATCCCTCCACAGCTCTAGCAGCCTACACCCAACCTCTCTCAGCTCCAGCAGCCTACACCCATCCCCTCTCAGCTCCAGCAGCCTACACCCATCCCTCCACAGCTCCAGCAGCCTATACCCATCCCCTCTCAGCTCCAGTAGGCTATATCCCTCCCTCCACAGCTCTAGCAGCCTATACTCATCCCCTCTCGGCTTTAGCAGCCTACACCCATCCCCTTAGCTCCAGTAGGCTATATCCCTCCCTCCACAGCTCTAGCAGCCTATACTCATCCCCTCTCAGCTCCAGTAGCCTATACCCATCCCTTCTCAGCTCCAGTAGCCTAAACTCATCCCCTATCAGCTCCAGTAGCCTATACCCATCCCCTCTCAGCTCCAGTAGCCTGAACTCATCCCCTATCAGCTCCAGTAGCCTATACCCATCCCTTCTCAGCTCCAGTAGCCTAAACTCATCCCCTATCAGCTCCAGTAGCCTATACCCATCCCCTCTCAGCTCCAGTAGCCAAAACTCATCCCCTATCAGCTCCAGTAGCCTATACCCATCCCTTCTCAGCTCCAGTAGCCTAAACTCATCCCCTATCACCTCCAGTAGCCTATACCCATCCCTTCTCAGCTCCAGCAGCCTACACCCCTCCCTCCACAGCTCTAGCAGCCTAAACCCAACCTCTCTCAGCTCCAGCAGCCTACACTCATCCCTCTCAGCTCGAGCAGCCTACATCCATCCCCTCTTAGCTCCAGTAGCCTAAAGTCATCCCCTCTCAGCTCCAGTAGCCTATACCCATCCCTTCTCAGCTCTAGCAGCCAAAACCCATCCCCTCTCAGCTCCAGTAGCCTACACCCATCCCCTCTCAGCTCCAGTAGCCTATACCCATCCCTTCTCAGCTCCAGCAGCCTACACCCATCCCTCCGGAGCTCTAGCAGCCTACACCCAACCTCTCTCAGCTTCAGCAGCCTACACTCATCCCCTCTCAGCTCCAGCAGCCTACACCCATCCCCTCTCAGCTCCAGTAGACTACACCCAACCTCTCTCGGCTCCAGCAGCCTACACTCATCCCCTCTCAGCTCCAGCAGCCTACACCCATCCCCTCTCAGCTCCAGTAGCCTACACCCATCCCCTCTCAGCTCTAGCAGCCTATACCTATCCCTCCACAGCTCTAGCAGCCTATACCCATCCCCTCTCAGATCCATTAGCCTATACTCATCCCCTCTCAGCTCCAGCAGCCCATACTCATCCCCTCTCAGCTCCAGCAGCCCATACTCATCCCCTCTCAGCTCCAGTAGCCTATACCCATCCCTTCTCAGCTCCAGTAGCCTAAACTCATCCTCTCTCAGCTCCAGCAGTCCATACTCATCCCCTCTCAGCTCCAGTAGCCTATACCCATCCCTTCTCAGCTCCAGTAGCCTATACCCATCCCTTCTCAGCTCCAGTAGCCAAAACTCATCCCCTCTTCAGCTCTAGCAGCCTATACCCATCCCCTCTTAGCTCCAGTAGCCTATACCCATCCCTTCTCAGCTCTAGCAGCCTATACCCATCCCTCCAGAGCTCTAGCAGCCTACACCCATCCCCTCTCAGCTCCAGTAGCCTATACTCATCCCTCCACAGCTCTAGCAGCACATACTCATCCCCTCTCAGCTCCAGTAGCCTATACGCATCCCCTTTCAAGCTCTAGTAGCCTATACTCATCCCTCAACAGCTCTAGCAGCCTACACCCATCCCCTCTCAGCTCCAGCAGCCTAAACTCATCTCCTCTCAGCTCAAGCAGCCTATACTCATCCCCTCTCAGCTCTAGCAGCCTATACTCATCCCCTCTCAGCTCCAGTAGCCTATACTCATCCCCTCTCAGCTCCAGCAGCCTATACTCATCCCCTCTCAGCTCCAGCAGCCTATACTCATCCCCTCTCAGCTCCAGTAGCCTATACTCATCCCCTCTCAGCTCCAGCAGCCTACACCCATCCCCTCTCAGCTCCAGTAGCCTATACTCATCCCCTCTCAGCTCCAGCAGCCTATACTCATCCCCTCTCAGCTCCAGCAGCCTATACTCATCCCCTCTCAGCTCCAGTAGCCTATACGCATCCCCTTTCAAGCTCTAGTAGCCTATACTCATCCCCTCTCAGCTCCAGCAGCCTATACTTATCCCCTCTCAGCTCCAGTAGCCTATACGCATCCCCTTTCAAGCTCCAGCAGCCTATACTCATCCCCTCTCAGCTCCAGCAGCCTATACTTATCCCCTCTCAGCTCCAGTAGCCTATACTCATCCCTTTTCCACATCTAGAAATTAAGAGACTCAAGGGTTTCCTAATACTCAAGGGTTTCTTTATAGAATTATTTGTATGTAACTTTATTTTGGGACTATATTTTCAACTGCCATTCTTCCTGCTCTCACATACACAAAAACTTAATCATCCCTGAAAATTACACATCATGTGGATTTTAAGAAAATATTGCATGATCTTGAGCAGCTTGGTTGGGTCTATATTTACCACTTGGTGGCAGACTTTACCATGATACTGACAGAACAAGAACATACATCTGGGGAAATCTGAGATTTGATTCAACAACAAGTGACACAGCTACTTTGTACCCAACCCAGCACAGTGAATTGTCTGGGGAGTGAGTGAGAGTGAGTATGGTTTTACACCACTTTTAGCAATATTCTAGCAACATTACGTCAGGGGCCACCAGAAATTGGCTTCACACATTGTACCCATGTCGGGAATCGAATCTGGGCCTTTTGCATGATGTGCAAACACTTTAACAACTAGGCTACCCCACCTGCCGAAAATGGTCTGGGATACAAAGCTATGACCAGCACAATGGGGTAACGAAAGGGGGTGGAAATGGGCGTCAAACAGTGTACCCATGTGGGGAATCAGACCTTCAACTCGACAAGCGAGGGCTTCACCCACTAGTCTACCCCACTAAGTGAAGTACAATTCCTCCTCACCCTCTTATCAAACATGAGTTGTTTGTTGACACTGCTGCCCAGGGTCCAGTGAATACTCTTGACCGATTTGGTGGGCGAGGCACTGCGGCTGACTGGGGAGGGGGCAGGGTCGGGGTAGGCAGCAGTGTCAGAGTTGTCTCCCATGTTGGCCTTCTCCAGTAGACTGGAAAAGAATAAAATTTGACATAAACAAGTATATCAAACACTAAACTTGCTATGTAAACAAAGTTTTCAGCTTAGTTGTGTGCAGCTCTCATAACCAATGATTGACAGTTGTTTGTTTAAATTGCCAAAGTCACATTCTTGTTACAGATACTCAATTTCTGCAATTTTTAATAATTCAAAATCAGCTAAATATATTCCATTCACTTTTGCAGATTTTAATATTCAGGGTAATAGAACTGCTTGTTGTGGTAATATGGAGAAAATCTGTATTGATATAAATTTAGAGTATATTTTAGATATGCCTCATTATTATGCGTTTGGTTTTAAATTGAATTTTGAGGCACTTAATGGTTTATCTCACAGGTGATAACGTTGTCAAGAGAACTGATTCTAGGTTTCAACCTTACCTTTTATATGCCTCTATCTCATCTTTAATCTTCGAGAGAGACTTAGTTGGTGTAATGGCAGCAGTTCGGAATCGGGGAATGGCAGTGCCGAAAGAAGTGTTTAGGGAATTGGTCATCCGTGGGTTATTCACAATTGTCACCCTGTTGATATTAGGCGTCAAGGCGGGGATTCTAGCAACAATATAATCATGTTACATGACATATGCATCTTGTTTGTTTGTTTGTTGTTTAATGTCACATTCAGCAATATTTCAGCGAAATGATGTCGGTCTGTAAATAATCGAGTCTGGACCAGACAATCCAGTGATTGACATCATGAGCATCGAACCACGTAAATTGAATATGATGACAAGCATCAACCAAGTGAGCGAGCCTGACAACATGTAAGTGAGTGAGTGAGTTGGGTTTAACGCCGCTTTTAACAGTATTCCAGTTATATCACGGCCTGTCAGCTTAATGAGGGAGGAAAGCCTGAAGTGATGCATGTCTCAGACGTTGACCACTTAGGTGAAACCCACGAGCACGGGTATGGTGCTGACAAACCTAGAAACATAATCGGGGCGAACCGGGATTTGAACCCAAAATCATAGGTTTCTGGCATGCCAAGGGACGCAACTCTGCACAGAGAATCGCGGCGCCTTAGACGACTGGGCCACCCCCTGACAACATGTAATGCCGAAGGAGTCAATGTTTAAAGACAGTCCACTTATGACAGCTGGGTCATGGTGGCCTGCAAGCAGCTGATTAAGCGAATGATGTTTTTATTAGCCAGACTACACATTAGCCACACAACCCTCACTCAAGCCTGGGGTGAGCTGGGGATCAATGCTGCCCTGGTGAATTCAAGAATCAACGTTAACTTTCAAAATATATACTGCTCAATGAAATATCATTTTTTTTACTATTATAGTTAGTGTTAATTAAGATAATCTTTAAAATAATAAAACCAAACTAAGGTCACAATAAATTAATTATTAGTCATTCATCCAAAATAGTTCTAAATTGTGAGGTGCAAGGCATTATATTTTTTATATACATCTTTCATAAACAAACTATTGAAAGCTGTATACATTAACTCTTGATGGATGCGATTAACACAAAGGATGGATATTTGGTAGGAGTAAGTGAGTGACCAAGTTAGGTTTTACGCCAATTTGTACAGTAATCCAGTTATATCACAGTGTGTCAGCTTACTGTAGGAGGAAAGCCTGAAGTGATGCAGGTCTCAGACAGTTACCACTTTGGTGAAACTCACGTATGGTACTGATAATTCTTGAAACAATCATGGTGAACCAGGATTTAAACCTGTTATCGGTTTCTGGCATGCCTAATTGACGCAACTTGCCTTAAACAACTTGTCCCCTCGTGCCCAGATAAGGTGAAGAAGAGGGGTTATAAACTTTACATGATTCAAAACAGTTTCCACGGACTGATTATCGCAAATGAGAACCATAGCTTTCTGGCTTGTCCAAGGGACGCAACTCTGCACATCGAACTGCGGTGCCTTAGAGGACTGGGCTACCATGACCCCACTATTTGTAGGAGAATGCATAGGGTGTATTTCATCCAGTAAACAAAGAAGGGAACATCTTCCCCAGGCAAGAGAGTTAACTGACTTTAAAAGTCCAGTTTCCACCCTTGCTGAACTAGCCTGGAATTACTGGGCTCGATCGTAGCGCCACCAGTGGCTATTACCAGTTATGTCCCCTCTAAGCCTCTCCTATGGACCAATGAGATTCCACCTCTCGTATCACTTGCGTTTGCTTCACCCAAAATGGTGGCGCCCAGTCAGGACGATCTGATCGATAATCAAGATCTATATTGTGATAAAACGGGTCTTACATCGCGAAATGCATCAAATCACGTGAGCTCCTTGATTGAAAACATGAAAAGATTAGGAAAATATCTGCTGACAACGAGTTGGCGGTGCACATGCTTTGAAAATCCTGCAATCGACCAAAATCTGCACGACAGTTTACGAACCAGATTTCGATTTCGGTGTGCGATTTTGATTGGACTATGCATAGACTCGTTAGTCCAGCCAAAATGTAACTCCATAATACCAGCCTAGTTCAAGGGTAAGGGTGGAAACTGGACTTTTATAGTCAGTTAATTCCCTTGCCTCGGGAAGATGAGAAGAGAATAAATGAAGCTATTTCTTTCATCTGCTTCTATTGTAACAATAGCAGGGCGATTTGTTGTGAGGCAAAGGGTATGAAAATATATTAATTGATTTTGGCCAGAAAGAACTTTACCGGATTATTTCCTCATAACCAAACCTCCCCCACATCTTCTCTGACACCTCATCTTCGCTCTCCTCCTCACTGCAACACAGACGAGGCGTCACGCCGGGGGAAATCCGCGGAAGACGGTATGGAACAGAAGGTTTGGAGTTGATCTCTTCGATGTCCACGCTGGACACAACTGCAGGGGTTTGACCATCTACCAAACTTCTGGGCTTGCTATGTCTGGAAACAGAGTGAGTGAGTGAGTGAGTGAGTGAGTGAGTGAGTGAGTGAGCGAGTGAGTATGTCACCCAGCATGGGTAGTTGATAAATCAAACCATTTTTACTACCGTATTTCCTTGATTAAATGCCCAGGCGTATCTTTCACTCTTTACCCCTAGAACTTAATCACAAAGATATTGGGGTAAATTCAGTGCATTAAAACAAACCTGTGTTTCATCGACAACCTGTCGTCTATTCAAGGCCCGGCAGTTAATCATGGGAATACGGTATCTACTTTGAGCAGGCAGGCAGGCTGGTATTTTCTTTAAGATAGTTTTATATAATATATACTATAGCATCATTTCTGTCTTGGTCTTGGAAAAAACAACAACAGTGGGCGTGGATCAATCTGTATAATAAACGCTGATCACAAACAAGTGTCAGTCAATACATACAGATTGTCACACGTGTACCAACAGCACTTAGAAATATATACCACCACCATCCTCATTTTATTGTGTCTCCTGCTTGAAATATAGACCATATTACACCATAAAGTGTTATATATTAATGCCATGTCTACATCACTATCAGTGATTCAAGAAGCCAGCTGCAGTTTTTACTTCACAGTAGAATTACTTTCGTATAAATAAATAAATGATTGACATAGGTAATTTTTTCCTTACTTCAACCGACCTTGTGTACAAAAGCTGGAATAAAACCCATGAAACATAAAATTAAATAAATATGGCCAAACGTTAACTGTCATTATCACGTTAATAAGATACACTGATTCTAATTATCATATTTAACTATGCATTAAAATCTACACAAAAAGGTAGGCTGTTTTTTTCAAGTATTATTCATAGTTTGTCCAACAAATGCAATCTCATTAAAATCAGACCTCAGTTCTCGCTACCGCTCAACAAAGCTTTGTTTAGCGGTAGCGAGAACTAAGATCTGATTTTAATGAGATTGCCAACAAATGCAGAAAAGTGACAGTAATGATAAAACCTACAGTGATTTCAGCACATGTCCTCTATAGGCAGGTTCTGTGGCCAACACAGGTTCCATAACAGTCGGAGGCAAGGTCGCCTGAACGTGTGTGACAGACATTGTCACAATACCTCACATCTATATCACATAAAACTCCAAAGCACTCCAGTCAATTTGGAAAAAAACCTTAACGACTTGTTTACTCAAACATCATTGTCACACCAGCTGTACAACAAATTCCAGATCCACAAAAAGAATATATATATGTAGGTGCTATCACATTGTGTTTACTCCAAACAACACAATGGTGAAAACTTCAGGCATTCAATGCCTGATCACGTTCCACAAATAAATCAGCTTCATATTTCAACATGCCTCCTAATGGCAGTGTAAGTTAATCTTGTCGAAGACTCTCTGTCCGAAGTTTGTTGATTTAAAAGTCCTGTACGGAATATATGCTGTCAAGGCCTATCCTCAGCTGTGGGGGACAATGCGTCTGAACACAACACACCTAAACATGGCATGGTTGGCTTGCTACCGTTACCCTATCGTGGCTAGACAGGTGTGATCTGTAAGCCACCTAATACAGGGTATTGTTTCCTGTGGCACAGGCAAGGAGTTATTGTAGGTATAATATGATTAAAACAGACCCCCAGATCTAATACGGGTCGCCTGCGAGGTCCCAGTGGTATTTTATCTCAGACTGCCATATTAGCCATGGACAAAGCATGAAAAAGTGAGTGAGTTGGGTTTAACACTGCTGTGAATGTAATTCAAGTTATATCACACATGATATGAGTGCACATGATAAATACAAAGTTTAAAGAATTCTTGAAAATTCAAATTCCCTTGATATATGTCTACATACAGATTCATCTTTAAACATTTTGAAGTACTTGTAACAATATTTTGATAAATGTCTTAAATGGAAATGTCTTAAATATTGTAATACCCTTGCAAAATAAAAATATTACACATATTTAAGAAACGAATTCCATGTTGTGTTGTTTCACAGGAGTATGAATGCTTATTTCATGAATAAATGTACCTAAGTCAATATGTAGGATTATGCGATAGGGGCTGTCGGGTAGCCTAGTGGTTAAAGCGTTCACTCGTCACACCGAAGACCAGGGTTTGATTCCCGACATGGGTACAATGTGTGAAGCCAATTTCTGGTGTCCCCCGCCGTGATATTGCTGGAATATTGCTAAAAGCGGCGTAAAAGCATACTCACTCACTCACTCATTTTGCGATATGTATACAAAGAAACCAGTAAAGGATCAGCATGGATCAATATTTATACAATTGCTTGAATTCCTGAACTTATATTTTATTCCTTTTAACACATTTATACCCCATTGCCTAAAATGAAAACAATGACAGACATCTACATTTGCCATTGTCAGACTTCCTCTCAAAGGATAAGACAATGAGATGTCCTTGGTTGGTTGTTTAGCAATATTCCAGCTATATGACGGCAGTCTATAAATCATCAAGTCTGGACCAGACAATCCAGAGATTAATATCATGAGCATCGATCAATGCAATTGGGATCGATGACATGCATCAACCAAGTCAGAGAGCCTGACCACCCGATCCCATTAGTCGCCTCTTACGACAAGCATAGTCACCTTTTAGGGCAAGCATGGGTTGCTGAAGACCTATTCTACCCTGGAATCTTCATGGTTCCAATGAGATGTCAATTAACAATGAGTGAGTGAGTGAGTTGGATTTAACGCCGCTTTTAACAGTATTCCAGTTATATCACAGCGTGTCAGCTTAATGTGGGAGGAAAGCCCGAAGTGATGCAGGTCTCAGACATTACCACTTCGGTGAAACCCACGAGCAAGGGTATGGTGCTGAAAAAAACCTAGAAACATAATCGGGGCGAACCGGGATTCGAACCCACAATCATAGGTTTCTGGCGTGCCCAAGGGACGCAACTCTGCACAGCGAATCGCAGCGCCTTAGGCAACTGGGCCACCCGTGCCTCCCAATTAACAATGAATAGTCATCTATTTACTAAAGCAAAACCTTTCAACACTTTCAACATTTAAGGCAGGACATGTGAACAGAACAATTACTAAAGGAAAAACTTCAAACAATGTTGACGCTGATTAACAAGGAAAAGCAAAAAGGATTTGCAGTAATCATATCAAGAGAAGCTTAATCTTAAGTCAATGAATGGTTATGGATTTACTCGGTGGCAGTGGGTTCATTTGATTGGCTAGTCACTTCTTAATAGTGTTATGCAATGTAATAGGTAAGTGTATTTTTCAGGGTATATTAGATAACGTGAATTGGGTTCTATTGCACTTATATAGCAACATGTGTGTATGTGTGCATACCAGTTAGGACTAATGCTGGTTTTATAGTGCTCGCCCACTGCTATACCGTGCCAGCCCACTGATATACCGTGCCAGCCCGCTGATATACCGTGCCAGCCCGCTGATATACCGTACCAGCCCGCTGCTATACCGTGCCAGCCCGCTGCTATACCATGCCAGCCCGCTGCTATACCGTGCCAGCCCACTGCTATACCGTGCCAGCCCACTGCTATACCGTGCCAGCCCACTGCTATACCGTGCCAGCCCACTGCTATACCGTGCCAGCCCACTGCTATACCGTGCCAGCCCACTGCTATACCGTGCCAGCCCACTGCTATACCGTGCCAGAGTTTAACATGGAATACTGGCCAGGGGCCCCCATTCCACAAAGCAATCGTAACACTAAGACCATTGTTACTCACACACTTTAACATCGTAGCACTACAATCGCTTTGTGGAACAGGGCCCAGTCCTTGTTTTATCCCCTTTATGCAGGGTAACAAGGCAGGGTAACAACAACTACCATCTTTTAACATCTATTGGTATGGCACGGCCAGGGTATCGAACCACCAACCTTCTACACTCCCGATTAGACTCTTTATCCATTAGACGACAGGGGCAGTCTAAGGTTGCACTAAGGTTGCACTGAGGTTGAAACAGTTAACACTAATGCAATATTCCTCTTCTTGATGGTTCTGATAACATGACATATACTTTTTAGTGTTACTCATTGATAAAATGAGGAAATCAAGTACATGAAAATAACATGCAATACAAAATGCAGTGATTGATATTATGACCACCCGATCCTTTGGATGCCTCTAACAACCAGAGTAGGTTGCTGTGGACCTATTCTACCCGGGTATCCCCATGGGAAAAATGAATCTGATGACAAATGACATCATCACTTCACATTAGTAACGTTGTCATGATCATCATGCCAGGTAACGAAACATCTGCCATATGTATCTGCTCAGTGAATATATTGCATTCAACCATCTGCTGCCAATACAAATTCACTATTGTGTAATCAAGTTATTATTTCAATAACTTATTTACTATTTCTTTTTCTTTATGAGTGAGTGAGTGAGTTTGGACAGTATTTTAGCAGGGCTGGGATGGGTAACTCGGGTCGGGTAGATACTGAGCACAACCCGGGGACCCACAGGATTACCCGGAACCATGGTTAGTCACGTCATATATTGTTTCATAACAAAAATTCACAATATAACTACATGGTAACGCAACAATTTTAACTCTCCAATGTTCGCATTTCTTCATGACTATGAACACGTTCCTTCCGACTTGTTATATATGCATGACCACATCGTTTTATACGTGTATCTAAATACATTCTGCCAGGGCTACTGTCAAACTATTCCCAGTCGTACATTTTGTACCTATCTCTTGACACCAAGAGTGGGTACCCGGGTAGGGTCGGGTAATAGGGGTGTGGATACCCGGGTAGTAAAATTGGACTCGTCCCAGCCCTATATTCTAGGTATATCAGCTTGATGTGGGAAGAAAGCCCAAAGTGATGCAGGTCTTAGATGTTTACCACTTTGGGGAACAACAAGGATGGGTATGGTGCTGAAAAACCTTGAAACATAATCAGGACGAATATGGGATTCAAACTCAAGACCATAGGTATCTGGCATGTCTAAGGGGGAGAACTCTGCACAGCTAAATGCAGTGCCTTATACCACTGGGCCACCCATGCCCCCACATAGTGTATATATTGCCGAGAGTGATTGGGGAACACTCTTGACAAGTACGTAACCCTGAAATGTGAGACTGGATCAACACAGTCATAACTTCTTACCAAGACAAACAAACCCTTCTGACCTACGTTGAGTTGACCTTCCCCAACATTGCTCTGATCAGGCAACAGTTAATGGTATTTCAACTGACAGTTAACCACGTTTATATGTTTGTAAAACTGTAAATTAAATTTCTTTTCTAATCTCTGGCGTCAAATGTAGTTGTAGGCCATCAGGCCCACTTTCATACTTTAAAATGGTGAAAATATTACTTGTAAACAGCTCCCAATTAAATTTTAGATGACAACAATGGACAATGTTTAGTTCATATAATGAATATTAGAAATACTAAACTATGCAAAACAAAACAAAAAATCCTTAAAAGATTCATATTATATGACAACTTTTATGTAATTAATATTTCATATTCATCAATGATAACAATATACATTCAGACAAGAAACTTACCTAACAGAATGGTTAAGATTACTGAAAACAGTTACACAACAAAACATCTTTTTTATCTTTGTACAAAGTAAAATAAAGAAATATTGGTGACAATATTCCATAATGTGTCCAAATGCAGTCCTTATTTTCAAAACATATTGTACAAAGTATGACGTCATAACAATATTGAGTAAATACAACAAAAACATAAAAGCATATCCATCATCTACAGTAGGTCTTAGATGACCTTTTCAATGAATCTTGACAACTGATTTTACATTGACAATGTCAACGTGTGTGCAACATTGTATCCAAATGTAAAGGGAAGGATCAATACACTCTATTGACCAGTCTAATTGTCCCACATTGATTGACACCCTCCTAATTGATTGCACCAGTACACGCAATGTTGAAGTAGGGCTTCAGATGTAGAAACTCACATAAGCACAAGTGAGGAGTGAATGCTGGTTATACCAGTCAGAAATATTATGGCTATATCATGGTGGCCTTTTATATACTCAAGCCTGGACCAGACAAACCATTGATTGATGAATATTGGGAACACCTTTAACTAGTTCTTGTCAATAAGGCCATGATAAATTAATTATTAGATAGTCATCCATGCCCTCATCAAAACCATCATACCAACCACCTCATCATTTCAATGTCCCATAGTACCTACAGATAAAATCATGGCAACCACATATGAGGGAGTATGGTTTTACACCACCTTTAGCGATATTCCATCAATGATACAGCGGGGGACACCATAAATGGGCTTCGCACATTGTAAGCATGTGGGGAATCGAACCTGGGTCTTGGTTGTGACGAGCGTATGCCTTAACCACTTGGCCACCCTACCACCATCCCACCCACATATGAAAACATGGTACCCACATATGAAAACATGGTACCCACAGATGAAAACATGGTACCCACAGATGAAAACATGGTACCCACAGATAAAAAACATGGTACTTAGAGATGAAAACATAGTACCCACAGATAAAAACATGGT